GTTCCCGGAAGTAAGTTACTTCCGGGTTCGGCGACCAACCGGTTCGCAGGGACCGCCGCGAACCGGTTGAAACCCACCCCTGGTGGAGCCACTATCGGTTCGGCTGAACCGGAAGCAACCAACCTCTGATGCACGTGCCGGGAAGCTGAACTTCCAGTTTTTGGCTCCGGCCACCTGGTCTACCAGTTTCTGGTGTGCATGCATGCGGAAAGACCAGCTGGCTGGTGTGCATGCATGTACCAGAACCCAGAAATGCAACGGGTGATGGCTGGCAATGCCCGGAGAGATGGCTCTGCGTGCCACTTCTGGCATAGGCGCCATTGGTTCGCCATCACAGGCCCAGGTAAGTGTGTGATTGAAATCACTGCACTTCACTCCAAAACTTCACAAGACCCAATTGCACAAAAGCTGCTGATCCAAGATTGGACGACGCGCATGAGTCCTTGTGGTTGGCAGGCCGTGTGTGAAGCACCTGGATGGAGTGGGCTATTTGGGCTCCTGCCCTATCCCACAGATATTTTGGCTTAGCCGATCCCACAGGTATTTCCCCTTTGGAGCACAACACCACCATTAATTGTGTAGGCCAGAAGCATATTTGGGCCCAAACTAAACCCGCTTGGCTTCCCTCTTTGCCCAAATTCAGAGGTGAGATTTGCCAGGAGGAAATAGCTGCAGCTGAATGAGAGTTTTTTAGCTGATGTTGTGGTTTCTGGTGTTTAACACAAAATAGGGAAACTTTACGGAGCTGCCAGAATTCGTCACAACTGCTTTAACAACAGCTCCGCTCCAAGTCACACAATTAAGAGGAAAGGTGCTCAGAATGGTAAGGTCAGCCAGTCACAACCATTCATTTAGTGACCATTCAAAGTTGCAACCACGCTGAAAAAAAAAGATGTGCAACAGATCCTCGCTCTTACGACGGTCGCAGCATCCTCCTGGTTACTTGATCAAAATTTGGGTGTTCGGCAACTAGCATATATTTATGAGTGTCCCGGGGGGTCAGATCTTCCCAGTTGGCTTCTGACAAGACAAGCAACGGGGGAAGCCAGATTCACTTAATGACCATGTGAGTCGCTTAACTATTGTAGTAATTCACTTCACCACCACGGTAGAAAAGATTGTAAAAATCGGATTGTAAAACCGGGTGAGGCTCCCTTAATTTTTTTTTGCTTAGCAAAAAAAATTCTGGTCTTGGTTCTGGTAACATGTTGAGGGGAGATGGGTTTGCTCAACTATTGCGTGATTCGCTTAACGACTGCGATAATGGCCATAAAAACAAGACACCATTTTTCAACCACCTTGCTTAGTAACAGAAATTCTGTCTCCATTGTGTTCGTACGCTGAGGACTGCCTGCACAATCCAAGATATCTGTACAACGATATATCTTTTAGAAGGTTTCTGTTAAATTCTCTGCAATTCCTGGCTGGATTTCAGTCGATTTTGAATTGAAGAAAAGTTTTTATTTTCTTCCTCCAGCAATTTTGGACTGTTCTGGGGTTGGAGATTTCATCTGCTGATGGGCAGAGCCTTTATTACCTTTGTGGTACAGGTAGTCCTTGACTTACGACCCCAATTGAACTCAAAACTTTCATTGCTAAGCAAGGGCAGTTGTAGTTTTGTCCCATTTTATTATCTTTTTTTGCCACGGTTGTTAAGCGAGTCTCTGTTCTGACCTAGGCTTCCTCGGCAGCACGAAGCAGAATCCTTATCCCGATAAACCCCTTTTATTTAATTTACAGTGAATTCCTCTCCAGCAAACTCTTTCCCACAGTCTTTCAAGATAGTTCACAATTACTGACCTTTATCAGGCTTGGAGAGTGACCAGGCCAATATCTTTCAGACGCTGCAATACTTGGCAAGAATGCAGGAATGAACTAATTGTCTCCTGCAAACTCCATTCCCCAGTTGCTCCTCTTTTATTCCCTATGGGAGGGGCCATTCACCATCCATCTGTGGCCTTACTTCCAAGTCGACCCTTNGCCACTCCCATCCGGTCACATGGGCAGCAAGCCACTCCCACAAAGGAAGCCACACCCACAGAGTAGGTTCGAACAATTTTTGAAACCCACCACTGACTTGGAGGCATAGGAAAATAAAGGAGAAATCACCTGGAGGAGACATTGTGCAGGAAGTGGGTAGGCTGTAAATTACTGGAATGACAGCAGCACTTAGGATCAAAAGTGTGGCAGCTGAGATATTAGAGATCCGTTCAATGGCCTTGAAATAAACTTGATTGTGCCTTCCCGATCAACATTGCTACGGTCTGCTTAACCCTCATAGAGAAGATGTAGACAGGCAGTATTTGCCTCTGAGATTTATTTAATGTGTGTCTGCTAAGGGATTTCATGCATTGTTCATTTAACTCTTTCTGACAAAATGCAAAAACACAGATAAACACCATTACATTAAATGACACATCTGCCCAACTCTCCAGGCCTATTTGCCAAAAATGTCCGGGGCCGGGACAATAAAAAACAAATCTCTCTTCTGTTCTGTACATCTAAAGAGGGATGAAGGGTGCCATATGGACTCCAGGACCCTTTGACCACAGAGTATGGTGAACAGCTGTCCAAAATTCCCCATTGAAGGAGTTCCCTCCCGCCCCCTTTCTTCTCAGATGCCACCCAGAAGACCAACTCATGTGACAGTTACCTAAACGCACGTCTCTGACACAGGTCACCAGGAAGCTTTTCTCGGGGGAAATTTATGATTGAGGACCTGGCTCAATGTGATTTTGCCCTCCTGTCTCAGAGGTTAACAGCCCAAGTGCCCTCAAGTGTTTGCCTAAGCTGACACGTTTGCTGACATAAGCCAACTTTGATGGCAGCATGTGCTCTTAGGCCTAGGGCGAATCTTGTTCCCAGAGAGTAGCTGGTACACAATGGGATTCTTTCCCTTCTTCAAAAGGATTCATCTATGGATTAAATGTTAATTTCTCTATCATAAATCTAATCTACTGCAATTCTGCTGTAGTACTGCTGCCTATTGGTCTTCGGATACGCTTCAAGGCGCTAGTCGTCACTTATAAAGCCCTTCATGGCATTGGACCTGGGTACTTGAGAGACCGCCTGCTGCCAATTACCTCCAATANTGAACTTCAAGACCCCATTTCACAAAAAGGGCCTCACACCCACCTATCTGAGGCACAGTGACCTCCTGAAGTCCGAGACTTTCCCTAATAACCACTGCCACCACCCCCGCCCCTGCCCTGGGCTCTCAGCTGGTGAAATGCCCGGAAGCCTGGTGGGCATAATTCACTAAGGGGAACACCCCCCTTATGGCCCAACCAGGTCTCCGTAATGCATGCCAGGTCTGCTCTACCCTCTTGTATGAGGTCGTAAATAAGGGGAGCCTTATGTACCACGGACCTGGCATTAAGTGACACCAGCCGGAGACCAGGATCCTGTAATCCTGAGCACCTGGGAGTGCGAGAAGGGCGATGAGGGTTGGAATGCGCGATTGCTTGTAAACCGCGAACCCACATCCCCTGAACATAATTTGGCCCTCGGACCCACTATATCTGCCTCTCCCACAAACAGTAGAGATGGTGAACCTTCCAATGGAATGGGGGAACCCCCCAATTGAATGGCTTAATGTCTCCCCGGAATCCCAACCTTTCCCAGCACTTCCGACCCACACCCATTAGTTAGCTCTGACCTGTGCCCTGGCAGACTCCCCGCCAGCTAATCAGAGTGTTCTTGACACCCCCAGCTAATCAGACTGTTCTTGACACTTTTTTAAAAAAAAGTTAGTAGCTTGTATTTCTGCATCCTTCTCCTGTTAAATAGAATTTTGTTCAGTAAGCTATTTTATTCGTTTAAGCACTTTAATGAACCACGAAATATTAATGTTTATCCAACACCCTGCCCATCTAGAAGACAACAATTTGCAAATCTATCTGGAATAGATTTCAAATTATCCAGCAGCATTTTTAAAAATAGTAAACAATTTTAGGAATTTATTCTTTTCCTCTGGCTGCCAATTTTCTACTACAAAATTATTCTCCTTCTCTTCCTCCCTTTTCTCTTTTTCATAAAGCTGATCTACAGGTGATACAGATTAGGGCTCCAAGAAGTAGCCAAGATAGATTTGCTCAATCTAGCACCCTCTGTTGAACAAGATGCTGGTTTTGCTTTCTGGGAGCTTATTAACATAATACCAACATAGATGAATAGCATCAGTATGGAGAGTATTGTGCTTGAAGAATATTCACAAAAAGACAGGGAAATCCTTTTTTATTCCACCATTTATATTTGCTAAGGACGTCTCTTTTCAATATGTGAGGCTAATTGTTGCATTGTTGTCATACAGTTGACTTTGTGCTGTTTTACAGTACCAATTCCCCAGAAAAAACGTGCAATCATTATTTGTTTAAACCAGTGCTTTTTCAACCTGGCAATTAGCATGCTAGGTGAGGAATTCTGGAAGTTAAAGTCCACACATCTTCAAGTTGCCAAGTTTGAAAAACATGCTTAGACTTTATTTAATTACTCAACAGACAGCTACATTGCTTTCTTCTTTTCTGTATATAAATTAAAGATAAATTCTAAGTGCTTCTGTAACTAGGGTGGCTTTTTTTAATTCCTTTCCCAGACTTGGGCTTGAAAGAGGTTCAACTGCTAAAGAAGCTTTGGATGTCATTGTCTCGCTGCTGGAAGAATATGGTCAAGGTGGAAATTACTATGAAGATGGAAATATGTGCCATACTTTCCTGTCTGCTTATCTGATAGTAGATAGAAAAGAAGCCTGGGTGTTGGATACTATTGGAAAATATTGGGCAGCAGAGAAAATTATAGGTCTGCTTTAATTTTAATTTTTATCCTCATCCATTACTTATAAGAAAATATAAAATGTGAATTTCCAATGTGACACTGTATAAATTCAGATTTTATTTCTTGTATATACTTGTATTTTTGTTTCATCACCCAACTGGAGTTCTCCAGACAGCTTATAAAATAGAAGTTAGAAATCCTCAAATCTGAAAGTCAAAAAACAAAATGGACCTGAGTTCAAAAAGAACTGCAGAGTAAAATGACTGGTGTAAGGGTCTTCAAATTGTTTCTAAAAATTAATCATTTAGAACTCCTAAAGTATGAAAACAGTTTTTCTCTGACTTTCACTAAATCATGAATATCCAATAGATAATGAGGCAAATCACTGTTTGCTTCACACATCCATACACCACATACCACACACATATTGGCCTAGCTGTTTGATGTTTTCCTGCCAACCTAAATTTTTGCCTCTACCCTACCCCAATGCATTGTTTTCAACCACAGTCTTAGGCAGTTTACTTCTCCATCCACCTGATGTTACTGCTCTCCATTTTTCAGAGTTTTGCCATTTGTAATAAGAACTGTTCTTGAAGTTCTTACCAGTTCTCTTTCTGGTTTGTTCAGTTCTTCTCTCTCTTATTCTCATTCACATTTTTTGTGTCCTTCTTAGATAAACCAGTCAGGAAACACAACTAGATGAGCTAAAGTTACTTTATTATAAGGCTACATCACAGTAACAATCTTGCAAGTCTGACTGTACAAACTCTTCCCATCACCATTTTAACCATCTAATCAATTGGGGTGCAGTGGGATGTTCCTTCCTAAGATTCTTTCTCTGATCCTTAAGTGACCATGAACTTAAGTGACTTTAAGTGATCCTTAAGTGACTTTTCTTGTTTGATTATTCCCTAGGCAGCATCTCTTTCCCTCATCCATAACCTCCATTACACTTCTCCAGTAGTCTCCCTGTTCTCTGCCTTAAGATTAAATCTTTTTAACTAGAAAGAGTGAGGCAAAATAAACTTCATTTAGCCTTAGCCAGGCAAGCCTCTTTTCTTCCATCTTGAAGCTTGGATTAAACTTTTGTTCTTTCTAACCAGACAAGGGAGTTTGAGGCCAGTCTCCTATCTTGGCTTATAAGCTGCTAATAGAAGAAAGTATGTTGATTATTTTTCTGAATGGGATTTATATATTAGGTATATCTGCATATTTGCAAATCAATCTAGCCACTCTGTGCATCTATTTTTGCTACCTTCCTTAAATGTGACAGACACTTGAGTGAATGGAGAGAGGTTTTGCTATTTATTATAAAAGCAGCAAAGGTGAGAAAGAATCAGTTTGTCACTACTTTGCACAATTCAGTAGAGCAACTCTTCTAAATCTGTAACAACATTAGCACTTAGCTAATAGGATTTTATTGAATGCAAATTGGATCTCACTTTAGTTTTTTTAATGCCATATTTTATTTAGATGTTTTATTTTTGTTTCTATAGACGGAGTGAAGTGCATTTGCAACTGTCTGTCCTTAACTACAAAAATCGACGCAGAGCACCCTGAGCTTAGAAGTTATGCAGAAAGTAAAGGATGGTGGAGCACAGATAAGGAGTTCAATTTTGCTGAAGTATTTTCCCGAGTTGATGATTGTTCAAATTGTTGTTTGGGGAAGGAGATCTTAAAAAAGCAAGAAGGCAAGTAACTTTGTTGCCCATAGTCTGATTCAAACAGTACAAGGTTAGAGCAGGAGGGCAACTTGACAATTTATTACTACCAATGGCAAAAATTTTAGAGAGAATAAATTAGATAATGTATGCATAAAAGGGCACAAGAGAAACTTGGAGCAGAGAATTCCAGGTCCTATCCAGGTGATGATCTCATGCAAGGAATTCACCCATCAACACACTTTGCATAGGAGAAGATTGAACAATTCCTCAGAAAATTTAGAAATAATCTTTATTGTATTGCCCAGTTGATTAAATAGAAAATGATAGAAAAGTTGCAAATTCATTCTGCAGAGAAGGATGAATTCCAATTGTCTAAAAAGAGGGATTGATAAAACCACACATTACATTTTGCATCTATTTTGTTGCCCTTGCTCTTTTCTGAATTCTAATAATTCTGTTTAACTTTACCCTCAATATTAGGCTGCAATGTTCAAAGTGATATTTGAGAGAGTGAGTTATATAACAGAGGAATTTCCAGTTAGATCTGGGGCACAAGCATTTGCAAGCTAAGGAAGGGTCTTACTTGGGCTTTATGAACTATATTAGGGGCCTGAAAAAGAATGATGTCATATTGAAAGTAGGTGGCAGCTGGGGATTGCACAAAATCTGGGAGGTTGCTTAGTTTCGGCACACATACATAAGGGCACCGGAAAAATCTTTATAAATCACAATTCCTTTACAGGCATATGTGTGAAAGGAAGATCTCTTTGATGTACTGCCTCTTTCCCTGCATGTATTATTGCAACTTGCATTTTTCCTATTTTTGATATATCTGTGGACTCTGCTGGATCTTTTCCTTTGTCTCTTGGCAATAAATAGAAAATAACCATATTGCATTGTGTATGGATGGTTTTGAAGCAAGCAGTTTCATATACATATGAATACACACACACACACACACAAATATCAGGGGTTGGCTGCTACGGGTTCACCTGGGTTTGGGAGAACCCGTTGCTAACGTTATGGCTGGTTCGGAGAACCTCCAAATGCTCCCCCTTGCTGTGATGCAGGAGGCCGACTAGGCCATGTCTACGCCCACACAACACCTGGGCAGAGAACCCGTTGCTGAAATTTTTGAAGCCCATCCATCCCTGATATACATATACAATTATGTATTATATAAATATATAAATTATATATATATTATTTTTAAAAAGTAAGATTAAAAATTAATACTAATATAAAATAAGAAAAACAAAAGAAAATCAAAGTGTAAGCTTTCCTTTCAAGAAAGGAAAAAAATAGAAAACGAAAGAAAAATATTACAGAGAAGTGGTTTCCATTTTTTTTACAGCAGTTATAAGTATGATGATTAATTTTTTTTCTTATTCTGTGTCCATTTTACCTGTTATTATATGTTTGCAGCATTTCTTTCACTGATCTATTCTACTTAATCATCACACATTCATTTTTTCCCTATTTTAATCAAAAAGCCTCACACAACCTGTTACCTCCCAGATGAATTGGCACAGAAGAGGGTAGGTTTTTCCTCCTGAAGTGATCATGCCTTGCTAAATTTCCAATTTCCATGTTTTTCTTCCAGGCAACATCACTGTGGAAACAATGATTGACCTATTACGTAACAAGGCTGATGGCATCTCTGTGGATTCAGACTCTTTTCTTACAACAGCAAGCATGGTGTCCATCTTACCTCAGAATCTGACTTCCCCATGCATTCATTTTTTCACAGGCACACCAGATCCATCCAAGTATGTTAGAAGACCAGCATCTTTTAATAGTCTCAAAAATTAATTAATTTTACATCTTGGATGGGTAAAATATTACATTATTTGCTGTATAAGATTATGTAAAGAAATGTTCAGCATTTTGTTTTCTTTTTTCAAATCCCTGGGCTTATTTTTGCAGCTGCTAATTTAAATCTATCAGTAGTTGAGTAAAGACAGCTTTGTAAGAGTGGAAAAAAAGATAGATGAGCTCAAACCAGCCCAGGTTTGAGATCCAAAGACTTGGCTCACATTACTTGCCACAGCTCCTGCTCAGCTAGTAATTCGAAAGCAGGAAAACGCAAGTATATAAATAGGCACGGCTTCAATGGGAAGATTACTGTGTTTCATACTTCATACTGGTTACATGATAATGGAATCATCTCTCAGATAACACAGGTTCCTTTGGCCCGAATTAGAGATGAGCACCAACCCCTTGAATCGGTCATAGCAATAGCAGTTAGACTTATATACCGCTTCATAGGGCTTTCAGCCCTCTCTAAGTGGTTTACAGAGTCAGCATATTGCCCCCACAGTCTGGGTCCTCATTTCACCCACCTCGGAAGGTTGAAAGGCTGAGTCAACCTTGAGCCGATGAGATTTGAACCGCTGAACTGCAGATAACAGTCAGCTGAAGTGGCCTGCAGTGCTGCACCCTAACCACTGCGCCACCTTGGATCTTGACTGGACTGGACAGAGAAAACCTTTAACCTTTATAATACATCAAGAAATATCATATTGGCTCCAGCATTGTAGTTTGTCCATTACCTGCAAGCTTTTTGTATTTAAGAAAGACATCAAAAATATATATTTTAATTGGAAATGAGGTTAAATTTATTTTTAGATGTAATAGAAATTTGAACAAATTTTTGTGAATTCCAGATATTAGTTCTAATCACAGTATATTTCAAGGGAAGAAGGATTCAGAAGCAGCAAAAGGGCACTGCACACAATACCTAAAAGTAGCAGAGAATCTATTCCAGTTTATATGAACAATTCCGTACAGAAAATTGCAATATTAAAAGCCTATATCCTTGAAGGGATATTTTATGTGACATAAAGTTGCTGATAATTTGTGCAGAATAGTGTGACAAAACAGACCAATTAAAAAAGTGATCAGTGGCAATAAAAATTCCTAACATGATTATTTAAGTTTTAATATAATAATTAGCAAAAGTAATTAGAGTTTGTCGAAAGCATTGCATATATTTTTACCCTATTCTTTAATGCAATTGACATGCTCAGATTTATTTTGGGTAGGTTGTTTTTGTTTGTAGGAAAAGGTGCTAGGTGACAATATGATCTGTAACTATAATTACTCAGTTGGTCATTCCTACAACTTTTTTCAGGTCTATATTTAAACCTTTTATCTTTGTGGATGGTATGAAAATGGTACCTAAAATTCAATCACCCATTTTTGGTAGTGAAGATCCTGTGAAAAAAATTCCTCGGTTTCAGGAGAAACCTGATCGCAGACATGAACTGTATAAGGCACAACAGCAGGCCCGATTAGTCTTAGAGAGTGATGAGGTAAGGCTTCCAATTCAATTTTAGAATATTATTATTAAACTGATTGAATTGTTCAGTCCATATTTGCATTTTAAAAGCAGTTCTCTTATACTTTTATAAAATATATTAAGGTTGTGCTCCTTTTATTGCTGATTGCTTCTTTGCATAATTATAGATAGCTTAATTCTATATTATACATGTTGACGTTTTTGTAATCAGAAAAAGACATGCATTGTAATGGGAGAAAAGAAACTTTACACATATAGTTGAAAACTGAACGTTACCTTCTATAATTACTGAATGTTTATACTGGTAGGTGAAATACTTAACAATATTATCTCCAACTGCTTTTTTCCAGCATGCATGTCCAATATAGCACTACATGTAGTCCTAACTTAATGTCTACTTGTTCAGTGACAGTACAATAGGGCTAAACAAGGATACTTACAATAGGTCCTCACAGTTGTGGCTGTTGCAGTATCCCCCGTTACATGATCACAATTCGAATGCTGGGCAACTGGCTCACTATTATAATGTTGCAGCAACCTGCAATCACGTGAACAATATTTGTAACTTTCACTGCCAATTTTTGACAAGCAAAGCTAATGAGGAAGTGGGTAGGCAGTTGTGAAAGGCATTCCTGTGATCATGGGTTGCTGAGATTGCACATTACTCACTTAATGATGGCAATTGAGGCTACTGGAACTGCTGATGCAAGTTGGCATGGTGATATGGCATTATGTCTTATAGATATCCCAGTTCCAATTACCATCACTAAGCAAAAAATTATTTGCATCTGTATTTATATCTGAAATACTTACAATAGTATCTTCAACTACTTTTTTTCAAGTGAGCATGTGCACTATAGAAGGGCAGCCATAGAAACTGAATTAATGAATGAATATCCCAAAGGTGCTTTTTTCAAAAGGCAATTGGACTTTCTAGAGTCCTTTCAACAGTTCCAAGAAGGCTCCACACCAATTTGCACCACTCAGGTGACCCCATGACACAGATAAACCTCCAGGTGACCTTAAATACCTATCTGCAAGGAGTATAAATCCTTCCATTCCCTACCATCCAATTAGAGCTGAAGAAGCTTCTTGGACAAGAAGTGTAACATCTTCACAGAAAAACCAGAAAGTCCAGTTGCATCTTGAAAAAAGCACCTTTGGGACAACCATGACCTGGACGACTGAGAATCTCAATAGATATATGAATGAATAGTGATTTTGTCAAAAAAATTAATACTACAATTGTTCTTCTTAAGATGCCACCATTTTTTTCCTTTTATAATTTTAAGTATTGTCAATTAAATGACAATACATACAAATGGCAAGAGGAATTTGGAAGTTTTTCAAAGCAAGATGATTGTTTCCTTCCCACCAATTATAGCTGAAAAAAATTAGAAAGATAATTGTAAAAAAATAGAGTTTTTCTGGGGGAAGTTCCCATTTGTCCTAATCTCTTTCATGGGAGTTTTTATAATCATTTAAATATAAGGTGATATCATAGCAGTATTCCAATATTTGAAGGGCTGCCACAAAGATGAGGGGAGCCAACTTATTTTACAAAGCACCAGATGGCAAGACAAGAAACAATGGTTGGAAACTAATTAAAGAGAGAAGCAACCTGGAATTAAGGAGAAACTTCCTAACAATAGGTTTATAGGTTTATTGGGATTTATATGCCGCCCTTTTCCCTGAGGGGACTCAGGGCGGCTTACAACCACGGGGGAGGGGGGTGCAAGGTCAAAAACAAAACAATATGTGAACAAAGAAAAAATAGTAAAACACAACTTTCATTCAACAATCAAACACTCGGGCGGGTGAATCGGAAACCTATCCCCAGGCCTGCTGGGAGAGCCAGATCTTGAGGACTGCGCGGAAGGTCTGGATAGTGGTGAGGGTACGGATCTCCATGGGGAGCTCGTTCCACAGGGTCGGAGCAGCAACAGAAAAGGCTCTCCTCCGTGTGGTCGCCAGTCGGCATTGACTGGCAGATGGGATTCGGAGGAGGCCCAGTCTGTGCGATCTAATTGGTCGATTTAGGGAAGTAATCGGCAGAAGGCGGTCTCTCAAGTACTCAGATCCACTACCATGGAGTGCTTTAAAGGTGGTCATCAGTACCCTGAAGCGCACCTGGAGACCAACAGGTAGCCAGTGCAGCTCGCAGAGGACAGGTGTAACGTGGGCGAACCGCGGTGCGCCCACTATCACTCGCGCGGCTGCATTCTGGACTAGCTGCAGTCGCCGGATGCACTTCAAGGGCAACCCCATGTAGAGCCCATTGCAGTATTCCAGTCTGGAGATCACAAGGGCTCGAGTGACTGTTGTGAGAGCCCCCCGGTCTAGGTAGGGCCGCAACTGGCGGACCAGGCGAACCTGGGCAAATGCCCCCCTGGTGATCAAAAGTGATCAATGAGAACAATTAACCAGTGAAACAGCTTGCCTTCAGACATTGTCAGTGCTTCACCACTGAAGGTTTTTAAGAAGAGACTGGACAGCCACTTGCTTGAAATGGTATAGGTTCTCTTGCTTGAACAGGGGTTTGGATTAAAAAAACCTCCAAGATCCCTTCCAGCTCTATTCTGATTGAAGTATATTTCCTGCTATATATATACTCCAATCTACTCCAACTGGCCATCTTCCATATGTGTTTAGTCAGCAACTTTCAGAATTTTGACATGGAATTCTAGGAATTGCAGTTCTTACACACTTCTTGATAATTCTGAATGTTGCAAAATCTGGAAATAACCAAGTTAGGAAAGTCTGGATTATAACTTAAGTTTTATTATATGTAAATTTAATGCACAGCATTTCATCCTTTTTAGTTTCTTGAGAATTTTTATATGGATGCATTTGTAAGCATTTGTATAAGATTACAGCTTAAATCCTTTTAATCACTATTTCCTATTGGCCTTTGCATTCCTTAGGAAAAAGGTCAGACATTAAGAAGAATAATGTTAAGCCTCGAAAAACAGGGCTTGGAAGCAATGGAAGGCATTCTCTCTAGCTCTGAGATTCTTGATTCTTCAGAAATAGAAGACCTTTTTTATGACTGTGTAGATACAGAAATAAAATTCTTCAAATGAAGTGAGTCTTCATGTTTTTTTCCCCACATGCATATTCCTATTTCAGCAAATGTTTTTCTAAAAGTAAAAAAGTCAGCTTAGAGGTTAATATTCTTCTCTATCTCCTGAACCTAAATTACTTCAAAGCAATTTTTGGCATATATAAGAAGTTAAGTTCAGTACATTTTGATTATTTTGCTATATGTATATATTTCTCCTGCATTTTAGATTGGCATTTGTAATTTGTAAACTAAGACTTTATTTTTTTTATTTTTCATTTCAGTGCCCATAGACACTGTTAGCCTTTGCACAAGAACATAGAACTCTTCAAGCCTTGAAAGATAATCTCACCATATTGCCGAATTTGGGAGGAAATATTCGACTTTCTAGAGAAACTTTCCTCAGTAGCTGTATCCAGTTAACATCCTTTTTCATTATGTGTTGTCCTGTGTATTTTGCTAAAAGAGAAGATTCACTGATTGGTTCAGTTAGTAGATGCATGCTGGCCGGTGTAAAACTGGAATTTTTGTTTTATTTGAGTGACAAAACTTTAGAAATGAATAATTTTAGAAAAGACTGTAGAAATCTTAATGTTGTTTTCAAATTAATCAGGATCTTTTGAGAACTTCCCTTCAAAATATTGATTCACTTTCAAAAGAAAGATGGTCCACTTTATAACTTCTAAATGATATTTTTGAACAGAATATGTGGAAATGTTTTAAAAAAAAGGAAATTCCATTAAAAAGGATATAACTTTTAGCAATGGAATGCTTTCTCACTAATGCTAGTTTAAATGAGAATGAAATCAATTTACATAAACCTTAGAGCAGTGTTTCTCAACCTTGGCAACTTGAAGATGCCCGGATTTCAATTCCCAGAATTCCCCAGCCAGCATTTGGGAGTTGAAGTCTGGACATCTTCAAGTTGCCACGGTTGAGAAACACTGCCTTAGAGAAATAGCCCATCTAGTTCTCTATTCCACATTATTTCATATTTCTTTGTGCTGCGTTTGAAACATGTTTCCAAATGTTTGGTTTATCATGTTCCCAATATTATTGGAAATCTGTTGGAAAGGTTTCAAGTGAGATAGAAGGTGAGGCTATCTTCTATCACCTTTGTTTTATGCAGCTAATAAGTCACTTACTACTTTGCCAAATAGCAGCAGTCATTTATAGCTACTTAAAATAGTAGAACAGGATCTAATCCAGTAAACAATTACCATTGTTATATAATTATGAATACTAAGATAGCCTCAGATGAACAAGGTTTGCACACTTTAATTGACAGACACTTAATGAGATCAACATATTTGCATTTGCAGCAAACCAAGATTGAGTTAAAATGTGTGGTAATGACATAAGAAACTCGCACTAGTGTACTTGCATCTCATTGTCATAGATATATAACTTGGTTTTTGTGTTATAATGCATATTTCCCTCATATCCCACATTCACCAATAATATAAAATTGGAGTTACTTTCTTAAAGCAATTTGAAAGTGAAAGTATTATTTACCTCCAGGTTTTTGCATCCTGAATCCATTCTCGTAAATTGCTTATTGTCCATGCATCCAGATAACATTGGACATTACCAAGTTCATCTTGGCCATCAGCAAGTCATTCCTCCTACTGTTGACTTCTTAATGAAAAGATGGATGTATGGAAGAAAGTGATTGTGAAAGTGAAGTCATCAGGCAGTGACAGGCGGATCAGATTCTAATCTCAAAACTATGGTGCTAATCCTATAATTGAAAACATCAGGATTCTGATGTTATAAACATTTCCAACTATCAACTTCCAACTAAATAATTGTGATCAGGTCACAAATGCTGTTTATACTGTTAACTAGGGAAACTCATAAAACAGATGTCAAGAATGACACACAGATTCATGAGGGAAATAATAAATTTAAAAATTATGCAGGAAGCTAAGGAAAATATTTTTCCCCTGTACAAGGAATTAATTTTCAAGGGCCAGACTTTTTTTCTAGTTTTTCCAATATATGTTGTCACTATGGAGATCTATAGACTTTCCTTAGTGAAGCAATGCATCTTATATGGACAGTTTGTATAGCTATTATTTTATGGTTTAAAATTTCAAAGAATAATGGCATTAAAAGACAGCTGGAGAAGGGGAAAAATCCATATGGTAAATGCATTGATTTATGGACACTTTCTGTGAAACTCCAAATGTTTCAACTATGCTTCAAGATTTGATCATGCTCTCTCCCTGAGGATGTGTTCGAATGTATAATACCTGATTGAAGCAGAATTAGTACATTTTAGGTATTTCTTGTAGGAGGTTGCTATCAGGAGTTTGGTGTCATTTAGGATATATGTATTAGACATTTATTATTGACCAAATTAATAAATTATTTATGTGTAGAAATAATGTCTGGGTAGTAAATACTTTAATATTATTTTCTGAAATGCATTAGAGATGCGTTTTTTCCCCCTTTTTTCCAGTAAGAAATGAGTTTATTAATGTAAAATTATTTATTTTCTGGAAGTTATTAAATCACATTATATGTCATAATATATGTCATAAGCTTATTTAAATGGGAAATCATCCCCTTTTTCCTCTCTCCCCTCCACTCTTTTTAAAATTAATTTAGGATACAGTCTGAATTTTTTTTAATGTTTCAATAATTTTCATATTTAAAGGTCTCGGTGCAGATAAATATGGTTACATGTCATTTCTAATTGAGTCATCATTGACTAGACACTACTGCTCTGTGTCTTGTTTTTAAATATAAGGTCTGACTCAGTAAATAATGTCTTTTAGTTTTCCTTGGTGCAGAAAAGTCGCATTCCTTCCCCTTTTTTATTCCAGAAGTAAGTTCTCGAATTCAAGAAAATTTAAGAACCAAATTAATGGGGATATGGCAAACATAGCTTCCTGTCTCACACATTTTTGCTTTTCACAAAAAGCTACAAAGGAAGTACTGCAATGGGGATATTTAGGGCCCAAATGTATAAGAGCTATTGTTTAAGACTTCAGATGCTTCCTAAACAAGATATATTCCTTTACTCCATGCTCCAGTTCACATATTCTTCTTACTAGTAGGCTGTGTGTGACATCTAATTCAGAGGAATTTTGTCATTGAATCCACTTATTAGAGAGAGGGGAGGGGGGGAATATCTTTCCACTCTGCTCTGTGGGGGCAACTGGTATTGCAAGCATCTTTTGGCCTTGTACTCAAAAACAAGATGCCCTGAGATATAAGAACTTGCTTTTTATATTTAAAATATTCAAAGTAGACCTTGCATTTTAGAACTTTTTCTGGTTTTATGCATTTTTAATGCTTCTGATGGGTAGAGTCATCAAATGGGCCAGCCTTCACAATCACATGGAAGCTTACTAACTCAAGTAGTCCTCAATGTTTAGCAGCCTTTGAATGTTAGGATGGCACTGAAGAAAACAGTCCTTGCATTTATGATCTCTGATTATGGTCATGTGATTGTAATTCGGGCAGTTGGTTATAGCGTCTTATTTATAACTGTTGTAATAACTTATGGTCATGTCATGGTCATTTGCTACAATCCAAAGTTATAGCAAGGTTGCAAGTCATAGTCACATGATATCTTACATAAGGATTGCAAATGATTTGCTTAAGGACGTGGCAAGAAAAGGTTATAAAATCGGGTACAGTCATGAGATACCTCATAACAACCACACAGCTAAATAACACATTTTCCAATCCCTATTGTGCCTGCAAGTTGAGGACTACAAGTAACAACATTTTATGTTCTTAATCTGATGGGCTGAAGAAACTAATGGAAAATGTTTTGTTTTCATTCTTCATGCTCAGAATATATATGTGACATTCTTTTAGAAATCTATACATATGCACCACTGAAAAGCTATATACAAAAACAAAAACAAAAGAGAAGACTTGCCAGGAATTTATATATTATATAATGTAAATTTGGAAATCATGAATTAATTACAACAGAAACTCCATGGGCAACTGAATTGCATACAGTACAGGCAATCAATTTTACTTTACCAAAATATACCAAAAAAGAAAGAACAGCTAGGTAAATTATAATACTCCATAGCATCAAAAAAAAAAATCAGGCCAGTTTTAAAGAAATTTAAATAAAAATACATTATGTTGCAACTTTTTTTTATAACTGAACATGCATTCTCATTCTGGCCCATCTGCATCCAGCAGGTCTTTTAAGTGCCCATATTTGCCTGTACCTATCACAAAAATATTCCCCACATTTTATACTGCAATTGATGAACTCTTGATTTTTTGGGAATACTCTTGAATTGTTGATCTCATCTTGCTTGTGTTCGTAAAGGGGGGTTGCTTGCTTTATCTGTAAAAAGAAAAAGGTATTTTCCATGACATTATCCATGATATTTATCAATTTCTTTCTCTAATAATCAAGAGGTTTGAGCCATAAACCTGAGAAAACCAAGGCAAATTTATAGACCACTTATCTCAGTTGAAAGCCTTCATAATACCTCTGAATTCAACTAAGACATACATGTAGACACACAATTCTCAAATCACAGCAATTTAATATATTTAGAGGATTAAGAAGTATTTATTGGACATAGGACTTAAGATAGCAGTTTCTCAATATATACTGATAGTCCTTGATCTACAATTACAACTGATTGCTAAGCAAGGCACTTGTTAAATGAGTTTTGTCCCATTTTACAACTGTTTTTGCCTCACTTATTAAGCAGATCACTCCAATTATTAAGTGAATGAGGTCATTAAGTAAATCCAATTTTCTCCATTTACTTTGCCTGTTGGAAGAGGGCTGGGAAGTTACAAATAGTGATCACATGACCTCGGGACAGTGCAACTGTCATAAGTACATACCAGTTGCTAAGAGCAACTTGAGCCATTTTAAGAAGTTTTGGTTAAGTGATGATGTGGATGTTGCAATGGTCATGTGAAAAACAATCATGTCCCTTTTTTAGTATCACTGCAACTTCTAAACAAAGTTACTAAATTAATGGTTGTATGTCAAGGATCATCTGTACTATGATTCTTATCCAACCAAAATTAGCAATCTGCACAAAGGACATGGCTTGCTCAGAACATCTAATCTAGTAGTTAGTAGGCAACAGTGCGCCATGGATGCCACTGTACTTTTACTGATGATTGCCTCAAAGGCCACAATTTGTTTTACTCCTCTGTCATTTCTTAAAAGATTTTTTAAAAGAACCATTTAAACGTTTTTATATCTATTTTTAAGAAGTGAAAAAATAAATAAATCAAAAGTCAGCTTCAAAAGTTACCAGTTTCTTGCACCATATTTCCTTGCCGTAATGCCTTTGGATCATGGCAGTGTCCTACTGAGATTAGTTGGGGGCACAAAGAGTTCATTTACATTGTTTAACATTTTCACCTTTTAAATATGAATGTTAATAAAACAATTATAGTTTTAATTAGAACAATTACATATATGTATGCATGCAGATTGACTGCTGCTGATTGCTTAGCTAATCCCAAATCTTTCTGGCAAGGTTTTCTGAAGTAGTTTGCCTTATTCCTAGGGTTGAGAGAAAATGATTGGCCCAAGGTAACCCAGCTAGCTTTTATTTATATGAAACTGGCTGACTAATTATGTACAAACACACATATAAAATATAATAAAATGACATACATGTCTATAATTGTTTTAATAATAATTCACCTTCTGGTAAATGATTATTTGTGATTGGCTGTTTCTGCTATGTAGGTCATAATCTGACTGCATCTATCACATGTCCTCAAATTTCTATCCCTGGGTTACTCCATGCCATATACCGAAGCCAGTTTTGAAGCCAAGGTACACAAATCACTCTAGGTTAATGTTTCTCAGCCTGAGAAACTTTTAAGATATATGGACTTCAACTCCCAGAATTCCCCAGCCAACTGATGTCTCATGTGGATGAGACAATGAAGCATAAATAACACTGGGGAAGGCCTATAGATAATAAGCATGGAGATTATCATTCTTCTTGGAGATGTGCTACATTAGAAGGCAATTAAATTGTCAAAAACAACAAAAACAAGTTTCAGTGGCTTTGACATTGTTCTTAAGATGAGAGAGTACAAAGAGGTCCAGGGTATAATCTTAATGATTTAGATCTGGTTGACAAAAGTCATACCCCCGACACACATGGGCACTATATAAAACACAAATTGTGGGTATCAATGGAAGCTCCTGTGATGTTTTTGAAAATTCAGCAGACATTTCTCTACAGTGGAAACACTGTTCCATGCATTACACTGAGAAAGCCTAGAATTCTCTCATAACTAGAGGGCCAAGATGAATAATAGCCCCTATTTAGGAAGCATTTCATATCATATTGAGATAGAAATGTTGACTTACTTCTTGCTTCTTGGCTAGGATAAATTTTCTTAAACGGCTTGAATTCTTCTGGTGGAGGAAAGTCTTCCACAGAATGGAAAGTAAATTTCGATTCAAAATCATCTGGAAAGAGTTTAATTTTTTAAAAATTCATATTGAATTACAATAAGCAAAGTAACAAGCATGTACTACATATGTACCCATCATAGAATGTTATACACAAGCACAATAAAAAGCATGTTGGTCCTTACCTGAATGTTTCTTTTCTGTGGTAGAGGCGGGAGGGGCTACAACAGGGTTTATCACAGCCTGATTGGTCCAGAGACTGAGGGATTTTTCTTAAGTATCCTCCTTTCCCTCTTGGCTCCCAGTTTCATGAGGTTGAATGGAAAAGCTGACAGCATTATATAAGGAAAATAACACCACATATACCGAGAAAACACCGGCCATTCTGACCCCTTTTGATCAAACCAAGGGTGAGAAAGTAGCCTCTCCCACCTCTGCCACAGAAAAGAAACGTTCAGGTAAGGACCAATATTCTTTTTCCTGTGGCTTCGGCAGGAGGGGCTACAACAGGGACATACCCAAGTTAAGTCCCAGGGTGGGTTGTTGACTCTGGGGGAGGGGGGTTGCCACTTGTTGGAGTACCCAACCGCCGAAGGCCGTGTCCGCCAAAGCGAAATAATCAAGGTGATAGTGTTGAATAAAGGGAGAGGGAGTAGCCATGCTCCTGGTGGAATGGGCAGCGATGCCCTGTGGCGGAACCTGGTGAACTGCCTGATAGGCCTCCATGATGGCCTGCCGCAACCACCTGCATATGGTGGTGGAAGACACCCTAGCCCCTAGAGACCTAGGTTGGAAGGACAGGAACAGGGTCTCCAACCGCCTGATAGGAGATGTACACCTGAGATAAATGTGTAAGGTGCAGCGGCAGTGCCAGCGGACCTCCCTCTCGTGGGAAGGAGAGGGGTAGAAGTTGGGAAGGATGACCTCCTGCGACCTATGGAACAGGGAGTTGACCTTTGGCAGGAAGGTCGGATCTAGTCTCAGGACAACCCTGTCTTGGTGGAATTGGCACAAATCCTCCTTGGACGAAAAAGCACCCAACTCAGAAATGCG